TCTTCTGGGCAGCAGCCACAGCCCCTAGCTGGCCCCCAGCTCCCCTCGTCCCTTCCATGCTCCCTCTTGGTTCCCACTGCCTTAGGATCCAGTCCAAGCCTTTTACCTAGCTGGGATCAGGCCGACTATCCCACCCTTTCCCACCCCTGTGCCTTTGCACACACTGTCCCCCTGCCGGAGCACCCTTCACCCCCAACCTGGTTCTCTCCACATATCCAAGTCTGACTGCTCTCCACCCTCACCCCAGGAACCTCTTCCAGGACCCCAACTCTGTGCCAACCCCGTCTAAGCAGGCAGTGACCTCTGAACTCCACAGCACTGAGCACAGGAGTCTCTCTCAGGCGTTTGGCATGTGCCAACCTCAAGGGACAGATATACTGAGCACCTCAGGGTGCCCAGCTCCGGGCTGAACCCCAAAGGATACAGCACAAGCAAACCCAGCCCCTGGCCTCAGGCCATCCGGGGAGGAGGCATGGAAAACAACCCCCATCCCCAGAGGATTGAGCCCACCTCACCTGCTCAGAGAGGTGAAGGGACATCCCCAAGTCACACAGCTCGTCAGGGACGGAGTCAGGATTCACACGGAGGCAGTCCGGGGCCTGCGCTCCTAACCATTGCGTCGTTCGGCTCCCAATTCCCATGTGATTTGAGTACAGTATTTCCTTATATTTTATTTATGTGTTTACTTTATTACATGAGTAATTCATATTTATTGTAAAGGAATTGGAAAATACAGACAAAAAAGAAAAAACAAAGTCACCCACTCTCCCATCTCCCAGAGCAAAGCACTGTCAACACTTTTGTGAGCTTTTCCATGCCTTTTTCTAAGCATATGCACACGTTCCTTTACAAGAATGACTTCACGCTGTAAATGGTTCTGCAATTTGTAAATGGTCTTACGACAAATCGGAAACCTCTTTCTACATTAACAAACATTTGTCTACATTGTTTTTCTTAATTGCGAAATGTTCCATACAAATGGAAATGTGTATCAAACACCTGTGTGCCCTTTAAAACAACAATAAAAACACGCCCGGGTGTCTGCCCCCCAGGTTAATGAAGAGATGCCCAGGGCCCTAGGGGCCTCCTGGTACCCACTTCGGTGATCCCTCCCCACCACCCCAGGGTCACCTCCTCTTGACTTTTGGGTTGAACATGACGTGTCTTTCCTTTGGGGTTTTATTAATACCACCTAGGTATGTTTCCCTGAGCACTATATTGATTAGCTTTGAACAGCTGAGGGGCAGCACACGCCTGGCTGGAGAGAGTGGGCATGATGGCCAGACCAGAGGAGGACCCCAGGAGGGTAAACTGAGCCGAGCCTGTGGGGCACAGACTGGTCTCCGCCTCCCCGAGCACTGACAAGAGCCCCTTCTGGGGCAGTGGGAAGGCAAGGTGGGGGTGAGGCTCCCCCGTCGGCACAGCTGGCAGGGCTGTGGCGTGGGCATTCAGCAGGCAGTGATCAGAGGCATGGGCTGTTCTGTCTTCTTGCTTCTGAGCTCACCGCACCTGTGTTCAGATCTCAAGAAGAGAGGTGGACACTTCTGTGAGGTAGACCAAGTGTCCTCAGCTAAGCCAGGCAGCAGGGCATGGAGGACAGAACAGGGTGGCAGGAGCCTGTAAGCAAGAGCAGCCAAATGCGGCCGAGATTCTGGGCCCCACTCACTGGGGATTCTGTTCTTAAACAGGCAGTACAGTGGCAGCTGGCATCTTGGTGACGACAGCCCTCCGTACATCCCTGGAGTCACACTGCTCCCAGCTGGACTGGCTGCTTTCAGGCCTGGTGCACATGTCATCCTGGGGTCTCTCTTTATCACCCCCTGGGGGTGCCCTTGACCCCTCTGCTGACCCGCTCCTCATGTCCTGGATGGCACACCTTCACCTTTCTTGGTTTCCCCGTGTTTGTGATGAGCCCATCCTCCAGGAGTTCCTGAGAAAGACTGCATTGGACGTATCATTTTTGAAATCTTGCATTCTATCCAAGGTTGACTGATGCTTGGCTAAGAATTCAGAGTTGGAGATCCTTGCCTTGAGCATCACGAAAACACGCAGTCGCCCAGCCACACAGTGCTGATGAGCGGGATGGACCCAGGCTGTGTTTTGAGCCTTTGTATGTAACCTATTTTGTTCTACCTGGAAGATTTTAAGATTTTTGTCCCCAGAGTTCTGAAATTTCACACTAATATTCCTCTACAAGGGTCTAATTTCATCCATTGTGCCAGCGCTCAGGGGGCCCTTTCATACCGGAAACTCATAGACTTTATTTTTCAGAAGTTGAACTATTTTTTGGATAATTTCCTTACCTCTGTTTTCTCACTTCTCTTTCTGGAACCCGTTACTCAGAATCCTTCCTGGGCTGCTCTTCTAACTTCCTTTTCCCCCCTACTTTCTCACATTCTGCTTTTTTGCTTTACCTTTTGTGCAGTTTCCTCCACTTTCTCTTCCTGGCCTTCTACTGAGCTTTTCAATTCTGCTATCCTATTTTTAATTTCCAAGGGATTATTTTTTGTTTTCTGAATGTTCTAGTTTTGTAACTTCCTGTTCATCTTTCAAGAATGCACTGTCATGGGCCGGCCCTGTGGCTTGGTGGTTAAGTGCGCGCGCTGTGATGCTGGTGGCCCGGGTTCGGATCCCGGGTGCGCATCGAGGCACCACTTCTCCGTTCATCCTGAGGCCGAGTCCCACATGCAGCAGCTAGAAG